GGAAAGAGAGTCTACAGAAATCTAGAGGGTTTCAATTTTTCAGAGGTTAAAACAAAAATGGCCATAATAAAATTTTTCACTTTGTAATAATTTGGTCTATTTAACAACCTTTAATGTTTTCCTAATTTTATCAATTATCGATTGGTAAATTGCCATCAATTTCTGCACTGACCAAGATCTGAAATCTTTACATGGCATGCATATTCACTTTCAATAAAAATCTTATTATTAACTTTTAACAAAATAAAATAAAATCTTATTAAAGTAAATCTTAGGAGATGTCTAAATTTTGTGTTTCGGTTTGAAACATTATATGAATATTTCGGTGAAAATAAATCTTTTGGTCACTTTTTCACTAATCTGGAATTGCTAATAGAGAAATAAGTTTAAATCATTATATAGCTTTTTATTTTTTAATTTAAAACAAAATTCTTTTTCAGGAAACTAATCAAATCTCAAATTTTAAAAATATTTTAGACTAAAAAATATAATAAAATTTGTGATATAATATCGTATTATATATATAACAAAATTGTGTGTGTGTTTTATTTTATTATTTTTGCATAATATGCGATAAATTCCTCTTGCATTCACATTTTAAAAACATGACTTTTTTCCCTATCGTGACTTGAAATAAGAACTAGCTCGATGTCATTCATGAGATGATAAGAATCTTTTAAGGACAAAAATTCCACGTGGATATAATGTTTACACACGGAGAAGGGTTAGGTGTTTAGAAAAACGAAGAAGATTGTGATAAGAGCTTAGTTGTCATTATTATGATATAATTAATAAGAAAAATATCATGATTAGCATATATTATATATCGATATTATAGGAGCTACTTGTGTCTTTTCTAATTATGTTAATACCAATGATAATTGACATATAAATATCCCTGTAATTACAATCTGTCTCTTTTGTTCTCATATGGCAACTCTTGCCGTGTTTCATTTCTGAACCTTGCCATCTTTAATTTAAACGTAATATTAAAATTTATAGAAAATTAAAGTTATCTATTATAGAATTATAATTTTTAATACATAACTCTAACTGTCCACAATTTTCAATAATCGTATGATACTAAAACTCATTTACATTTAACTGCAACTCATATTACCGTACACAAAAAATAAAATGTCGATCCAATGGTTTAAACATAAATCAATATTGGAAAGAAATTTACCTCAAACACGAACCGGTCATGAAAAAGACGATATGTATATTCAGCCAACGTTCGAATCGGTTTAGGAATTAGGGCAAACCAACTCTTAGTTTATAACCGATCCATTATAATTCAAACACGAAACTAAATTCAAATTAATGCGAATTATCTAATCAGTTAAGAGTCTTTATATTTAATCGGTCCACAATATAACATGTAGTATTTTACTCAAAAGCCTTGCAATAATATATAGTAATTAATGGCAACCCCTCCTGTCCCTTTTATAGTATTTCATTTTCTTAAACTTTTGTCCTAGTTCTATACTTTAATTTCAATATATAATAAAAGTCGAGGTAATACTCATAAATGATATATATATATATATATATATATATATATTTCTTAAGACAGAAATTAC